ACTGGAACCAATGGTTCAAAAGGAACAAGCACTCCAGTCTAAACTGGGAGAAGAGAGAGCTTTCCGGGCAGCTGAGCCACCATGTTATGCACTGCAGAAGCATGTAACAATCTTAGCTGGTGCAGAAGGGCCTCTTCTGTGGGCTTGCTCATTTGTCTTGTGAAAAACATGTCTGGGAATGAAGAGCACCGTGGATTCAGTCTGCCTCAACTGGCAGATCTAGCCAAATGCACGTGCTACACCTTTCCTGTAGCTGATGGTGCTTGTGTATGTGTGAGACCATGTTTCTTGGAGCATTAGGAAAAAAATGTGCCCACAAGAAAAGACAGGGTGAAATGACTGGAAAAGTTGTATTAAAAACTCTCTTGAGAAATAGGTCAGAAAAGTACAGAGGCTATTGTCAAGTAGTCAACTCATTCCACTACCACTAACAAGGTTGAATAAAGCACTTCCTACTGGGTAGAGCAATGCCTTTTGGCGAGGCATGTGAAAGTAAGCTTTGTATTCCTTTGCCACATCTAGTCTCAGCTAATTCAGGGGAGGTTGTGAAACATGTCTCACCACATCATTTTAAAGAATAGTATTTTCTTTTGACTTGCAAGATCTGTTCCCATCTGTGAACGCGCCTGTCAGACTCACTGTGCAACTGCTTTATAGTGACATAAGACCACCTTCTAAGAGCCTTACTGACAAAATCTGTATGAGTAAATTTAATATGGACAAGACTATTCTCTGCCACCGAGGCCAAATGGCAAGGAAAAACCTGTATCCTTATTATTGTATCCTTATATATGTTCTGTTCTGTTAACCTCCAAGGCAAGTTGGCTGCGAACGATCTATGACAATAGTCCTCGGCCCATGTTAGCTCCCTAGCGACACACGGAAATGCTCAAGGCAATGATGTTAACCAAGATGTCCCTAGAACACACAACTGAGTTCCAGCATCCAGGAATGTTCCTTAACCAAGATGTCCCCAGAACACATGACTGAGTTCCAGCATCCAGGAATGTTCCCAGAAACTATTTCATTTACAAGTACAGATATGACTGAGTAAAGCTTCCTACTGTGAGTAACACAGGTGGCTATGACTGCTCTGCCTTGCCTTCTGTGGCAGTACTCCCATACTCTGCCTGAAGCACACTGTGGGGATCTGGGCCATCATCAGACCTCTTTCAACTCCCCACTATGGCAAGGGAGAGCAATGGCAAGGGCGATGGAAAAAATGCTGTGCAATCAGAATGGAAGTCTCTCCCCAGATAAAGATGTGCTGGCATTTCTGCAAGGATTAATCTGTTTGATAGAAGAGGACCAAGATGAACCATTTACCATGGGTTAGGATGAAAATGGGGGATAGGTATTGTGGCTTACTTGAGTTACTTCATGAATTTGCCCTCCTCTAAGCTGGCATGGAAAAGTAATCTGTGAGGGCTGAATTCTGCGCATCTTTCTCATTTAAATTGTCCTTTACAGTTACTGCAGTGAGGCTCTTGAGCTTTGGAATAGTTCATCTCCTGCTTCCCTCGATGCCCAGAGTGATTGCACTACAGACAAGAAAATAGCCTCCTCTGTCACTCGTGGCAAGCACTAACAAAAGGGAAAAAGCAAAAACTACAGCACACCCAGTTACACACTGGATGTCTGTTACAGAATCTATTTTCTTCTTTTCTTGGATGGAACCTCTTACCCTCTTGTGAGCTACAAAATAAAGAGAGTTTAAAACAAAATCAACAAAAAAGCAAATGAGAGTTTGCACTACAGAGAAGTAAACAGTTTTTGTAATACACTGAGATATACACACGGTCTGATCCTGTCAGGACTGAGTCCCAAAGCGGTCAAGGGCTGTGAACACAGTGATTGAAGAGCTCTGGACTGCTTGGTCCTGAGAGAAATGGTAGTTCACAACCCACACCACTCGCTGGGGTCTTGCATGTGTGGGAAGCTGTATGCACTTGCAAACATCCCTCATGAGAAGAGCTGATGCGTTTGCTGGGCACCAGTGTGGGGAACGGACCCTTCACACATTCTCACTCCTTTGTGACAGGTATGAATGTCATTTACACTATTATTTCACTGGGGGAGACTTCAATTTTGTTCTTAGAGCAACTCTTCAATTGGGGAAATAGCTCTATGGGGTGTTTTAAAGGACAGCCCAATTAATGGAGTGTAAATTAATAAAGCAGACTGTTGGCATCTAAAGAGAAATATAATGTCCTTACTGCCTCTTTATCTGTTTCACCCTTGGTACTGTCACTTATGAGTGGTTCCCCAAAATTTCATCAAGGTTGATGTCTTTCATCCAGTCATCATTACCAGGTTCCGTTTTCAGTAAAGAATCTATAAAATCTGAGTCACTGTTGAGCGCAGGCCCTATACTGTCACCTTGCTGGTTCAGAAAGTCAAACCCGAGGTCATTACCATGGTCAGTTCCTTGGTAAGCCCGAGAGTTTTGGTTAGTAGATGTGAAATTGGTTGATGGCAGAGAGGATGGAGGTGTCATACTTGTTCCTGGCTGATTCAAGGTAGGCACAGTTTGTCCTCTTAGCTGGTTAGGTCTTATGCTTAGACCTCGTAGTGAGCCAGCAGATTGTCCATTCAGAGTCTGGTGCATTTGGTTTAGAGGAGGCCTCATTTGAACTCCTGTTGTTAGTTGATTGGGAGGTGCCAATGCACGCTGAGGAAAATGCTGGTTGCCCATGGCACGCTGCAAGGCCTGGTTGGGGTATGGCGTCCCTGTGGGGAAACGGACCCCTGCGGGTTTCAGCGTGTCCTGCTGCTTCACTGCAGCTTCTTGTGAGGCCCAGTTCTGAGCAGCGGCAGTAGCCGTGATCATCACGTTGGCCGGTCTTTGTGTGGGGATCCCTGTGGCTCCATGGTTCAAACTGGGCCTGACTTGCTGTGAGTTGACCACTGACCCAGTCCCAAAAGCTGCTATGTTGTTTCCCTGCGTCATGGTTTGCTGTCGAGACATCAGGGTGTTACTCTGACTGGGCAGGACTTGGTTTTGGTTTCTGTGTGTCTGCATTTGGTTCATTCCTGAAGTCACGTTGTACGCGCTTGCTTGGTTGCAGGGAGGGTTCCCGTAGCAGCCCATGCCCCGCGCTGCGGGGACGGAAGGCATTCGTGTCCCGGCAGCCGTGGACATGAGGCTGGAGCTCTGGGGCATGATGCTATGAGTAGAAATGGGGTTTGATAAGGACATGTTGGAGCTCATGCTCACAGCAGGTGAACCTCCTGCAAAGCAGAAAACAGCACAAAGTGTTCAACACGAGGACGGATCGCTGACACTATTCTGTAAGTATGAGCAAAATTATCCTATGGGTTACAGCAAAGATACTGCCACTTTTCAGGAATTCCCCAAGCCTCTCCCAGAGATATCTGGTGGGGGAATAGCTATATACAACCTTGGAGCTTTGCATTTCCTGCGTATCAGCTACTAGCAATTGTTGGACATGGGCACTGTTGGGGTTTGATCTTTCTCATATACATCAAGTCTACGCTGAATTTGTCTAGTTCTGACTTCATCAGTAAATGTTATTATCTATTAGTCTGCTTGATTACTTTTACTACTTGGTCCATCATCATTTTCTACTTACTATGCAAGTATTTAATGATTGTGACTAAGGCTGTGACCTCTGAAAACACTCATCTCAGTTTACAGCATTTTCTTCCAGTCCTTCAATCAGTCTTATAGCTCTTTTTAAAACTTGCCCAGTTTTCAGCATTTGATTTAAAGGCTGTACACCACAGCTAGCCACAGTACTTAAACAGCTCTTGCACAATTCCAGCATGGATGTAAAACAAGCGTTTTATTTTTCTTGTTCTGCCCTCCCTATCTCAGACTGTGTTTGTTTTTGGTCATAATCACACACCGGGTTTGCAGTGATGTCTGGAGACCTCTCAGCTGTTTCTCTATGTGCCATGTTAACTCTATCACTCTGCTTAATAAAAAGATCATATGGTAGGAAGTCAGATGACTTAAAGACCATTACCTGAATAATTATTAGCTTTATAAGCCAAAGGTATGGTTAATTAAAAAAAATATTAGGTGTATTTTTCATCAGCCTTCTGTCTGACATTAATTGTAGCCCCTTCTTTCATTCTTTATTAATCAGGGTATAACAGTCCTATGTACTTTTGCTGAGCTCAGCATTAGGTCATTAGGGCTGCAATTACCTATTTACTTTTTAAATTTTTGTCATGGCATTAACTTTCTTCCTTGCAGTTTCAACACTAAAAAAAATCCCTTACATATTAACAATTTGGAGAACTCCTCAGCCTGTTCTTTGAAAACTCTTGAATACAAATCAGGCACATACATATTTTAAAAGTCTATGTTTAGTAGCAGCTGTTTAATATACTATTCTTATTGGAATTTCACCAAACCTCTAGCACTTCCCTCAGACTGCAAAAAATTATATATTTCTACCTTTTCTGCATTATTTTTATGCATTTATACATCCATTCAGCATGGATGCACAGAATTCCTTTTAACCTAAATGTCTAAAAATAGTCTCCTCCCAATTTATTATTAATCCTGACAGTGGCCCTAGAAGTAGAGTTTCTTATTCCAAATCAGTTAGACATAGATACCTAAATTAAGAAGCTAGTTTTATTCTGGAAGACAGGCTCATCCAGAAAATTACTCCAATCGGAAGACACTTAATAATCTAGTGAGACTATCTTAATTTAAGCATTTAAATTCAGTGCGGGAGTTGGGCAGTCCCTGGGACAGGAGATGTTGTGAAGGGCCCACCTGGTTTTCCCCCTGACGGTGCAGTAGGCTGGGAGAGACCTTGCTGTGTGGAGCTTTGGAGAGGAAAAGGGCAAAATCAATGCGAGTGGATGACGTCAGGAGTAACCTCATCTCTGGGTTTGCTAGTCGGGTTTTAGTGGCATTTCAAAAGATCAGCAACAACAATCTGGGGGAGAACTCGGTCTCTCTCCGGCCGAGCTAGTCTGGCCGTTGGGCGTTTGTGGAAGAGCTTCCCTTGCCCCAGGACAAAGCCACCCCCGGGGGCGCAATATCTCCCTCCTTGTGCAAATGCTCTTTAATGAGCACAGTCAGTCAGGACGTGGGTTGTACATATTGTGCAAAAGACAAAGTTTCCTCTTTCTTTGTACTGCTATTTTTATCCTTTTATTTTTAACACAAATATTTTCCGTTCTGATTTCTTCCAGATGGGAAGGAATTTCTTCCACGGCCGTGCTGCGTACAGCAGCTGGACACCCTGGGCTATGGTGATTCTGAGAAACGCCCTTGCTGCCCAATTCACCTGCCGTCCTCTTAAGGGCTTATTGCTGCAACATGGCACCACAGGGAAAACCACATGGGAATAAAATGTTTAACCATGTGTTTCCAGGCCCCATGATATTTTATTTAACTTTTTTTTCTCTTCTTCCCTGATCTGAACAGAGCTATTCCCAGAAAAAGGGAATGGATTCCCTGCTGTTACTCCCTTATGCAAGAGTTTCCTGATTGCTCCATCTGGTGACTTTGCTGCTGGCTCCCAGAGCAGCCCTTTCTCCCTGGCTAGCCAGAAAAGCTGCTCTTCTCCCTGGGCTCACCCTCAGTGGTGAGCCCTCAGTCTGAGATTTGAATGGGCCAGTACTGCCAACCCCATGTGCTTCAAACCCAGAGATGGGGCTCCAAATAGCAGGAGATTGACAGAGAGTCCTTCAGATTTAGAACATCAACAGGAGCAACATAACATTGTCCATCTACTTGTTTTGGAGCCTTTCACAGATGGGGTGTAGTCATGTTGCCACCTTCTCTCTCCAGCTAGAAATGCCTTGTTCTTAAGTAAAAGCCAAGAATCTCAGTTAATCATTTGATTCCAGGAATCAACCTCTAAATCACACACCAAATCACAGGATTTCCCGGAGCTACCAGTCGTTAAACCATATATTTTAATTTATCACAGGAGGTAGCAAGCCAGCAAACTGGCTTTCTGTGCTCTGGCATCGCCCTCAGCACATGGTATTCAGCTGGCATCAGTGATACTTGTGCAGATTTCCTGAAGGTGATGAGCACTGAGGCCCGTTAGAGAGCAGCAGTCTCCAAACTGCAACAAGCTCCTCACTGGCGCGGCCTGTAAAAGGCAAAGCAGTGCAGAACACTGCCTGGGAGAGGCAGGAGAAACTCAGAGCCTTGGATAAGGCAATTATGAAAAAAACAAATCCCATTTTTTTCCTCACTGTATTGCATACCAAAATCACTGGAAGACAAAGGATCATTTTTGTATTGAAGTATGCAGATACTCTGCAGTATTTGCAGCATCCCACCTTTCCCCCAACATCTTTTCCTTACTCTGTTTCTGTTCTCAGAGGAGCTTGCAGATAACCAGAAGGGCAAACAGCCAAGAAGGCAGCTCTGTACACCCCAAACTGGGCTCTGCAAGGAGGAGAGGGCTCTGGGACTCCCACACAGGACTTGCCCTGGAGTGTCAGGAATTATCGTCTGCCCTGCTACTTCTGGCCTAAACCAGGAACTTTCCCCCATTGATTGCTCCCTTTAAATGCTCCTAGAGCTGCACTGAGGCTGCACTGTGACACACTGAAAAACTGAAAGCTCAGACTATCACAGTGGTTGCCTGTGATGGTATTTTGCAGGCTACAGAGCAAGTAGGATGAGGGTCCTCATGTAGGACAGCACACGTGAGCTGCCATTTGAAGGATCTCTCCATCTCTGAAGCAACAGGTACCAAGTTGGTACACGTGAGAAACATCTGGATGGAGAGAGGCTGCCTGCTCATGTAGCCTGTATCAAGTATTTGCATGCACATCTGCCCCAGGCATTGGAATGGGTGGGTGCTGTCCTCCTCCTTCTCCGTGCCTGGGGAACATGGGCCATGCTGGTACATCCCCTTGGTGCCTGGGATGGGCAGCATCAGCCTTGATGAATGACCAGCTGGTTCCCCAACCATATATCAGCATTTTTCAGTAGTAGCAGGACAGTAATGTAAACAGCACAGGACAGCAGCAGCTAGAGGAGGGAGAAGCCCAAGGTCCTTTGGGAAGGTTTCCAGAAGGCTTGGAAGTCACCAGGAAACATTCTCTGTTTCTTTCTTGCACCGATATTTACAAAAGCAAAAAGCTCCCAGACGGAATGTAAGCATTTTAAACCCACTTTAAAGTGAGTTTTACTTAAAATACCTCTGTATTGATTTAAATGGATGCAAAGAAAACCAAGCACTTGTTATCAGGGGAGCCATGAATCGCTGGCTCTTCTGGAACATCTTCCACCTAGAAGGAAAGAATGTAGTTTCATCCAGGACATGGACACTTACCAGAATATTGGTTGGTTTGTTGCATGTTGACCACATTCCTTCTTTGGTCTTTATAATCTGGTGGCGGTCGTGTCAAGTGTCTGTTTAGCTGATCTTGTGGAGTAATTTTCTCCTAGAGGATTAGAGCAGAAATATATTAATTTGCTTTTCTTTAATGCTTTCCTAGCCCTGTGTTTTGCCTGTGTCTTGCACTTTCCAGAATGTACAGAGTTGACATGTCCTTTCACCCTGCCTGGTCCACAGGAGAAGACTTCAGTGGCATCTATGAATCTGTGCCATCATGCACTGAAGACTGCATGGGAATCTGCTGGTTATATTGTGTTGGAGTCCAGTCTAACTTTTTAAAAATCACTGAGAACTTGATCAGCCCTTGAGAATACTGGTCATGTCTACACTGCAGCAGAAAGTGTACCCTGTGTCTGTGCTTGCTAATGTACCAGGCAGAGGGGTCTGATGGCTCCTCATGCCTCCCTCCCTTTCCCTGGGGTTTGCTTTCCGAGGAGACAGGGAGCAGTGATGTTCAGCAAATATCCAGGCACAATCCTAACACGCTGGGGAAGCAACTTGGGTCGCAGGGTTGCAGGTGTGGCCAGCAAGATCCCCACCTGCACTCTGGCTGTGTAATGGTTCATCAGCCATTTCGTGCATGTTAACCTCTCATTGTGTCAATGTGCACAGCTGGCAAAGGGGATTTCGACTACATGTGCTTTATCCCAGCCATCCCATCTCCTCCCTTTCTCCTTCCTCCTCCAGTGGAGGAGCTGCCACAGAAAGGGGTTAGCAACGACTCTTGGAGAAGAGGGCAGTGGGAAAAGAGATCTGAGAAAGACAGTTACTATCTGGCCACATTTCTGGTGAAGGGAAGACAAAAACTGAAGTCCTTGAATCAAAATCTAACAAACAGCCTTGTCTTCATGAAAATCTTGAAACTGAAGTCACTGGAGTCAGTGGCGAATCTCTCATCAGCATGTGTGTGGGGTGAAACTTCCCCTGTTCCTACAGATGGTGACTATGCATTTGGAGAATTGCTGCTCACCTGTAAGCTGCAACTGCTCAGGATGCATGGCCCATGACAGGAAAGTGTGGATATGGGCTTGACTGCCTCACTCATCACTAAGTCATTCCTGGTGCACATGTGTCTCCCAAATTGAGCTTACTGCACAATTACTGTGCAGGCTTCACCCCTTACTGCAACATACTTGTATTTCGCACTAAAAAGTCAGAGTTTAGTTAATTCACGTCCATCCAGAGCTATTAGGCAAATAATCTCCCCAAAAGACCTCTTCGTTAAAGACTTTCATTCTGAAAACCTCCATGCATCTTGTCACTGTCTCTCCCCTCTTCTCCAAAGCAAATAAATGTCAGACTCCAGAAGTTCCTGTTGTGACATTATCCAGAAGTTGTCTTTAACCTCGTATAAGAGGAATCTGCTCGACTTTGCAGTCCTAGCAACACATAACCTGGAAGTCAGATTTCCTCTGTGGTCAAAGTAGTGTAGCAAAGTAGTGTGCTAGTGTACCTTGGTGTACCTTACAAGGAACACCATGGAAAACGCTCATGACTAGAAGTAAATACGTGTGTTGCTAGACTCTTGTCATAACAAAACCACAGTAGATCAGATACTTTCCTTGTTTCATGCAAACTGAACAAGGGCTCAACAAAGTGCCCCAAAACTCTAGAAGGTCTATGCATTGCTAAAATGACCTACAAGTTTGGGCAGATTTCTTCCCATCTTGGCTTTCCTTTCTGGTGTTTCTACAAAAATCATGCAAAATATGGAATTAGAGAACTTACTGCTTCTGCTAACATCTGTTGCTGCAGAAGGAGTTGTTTTTGCTCCATCATTTGCCGCTGCAGAGCCTGTTTCTTTTCCATCAGTTGCTGATTCAACATTGATTGCTGGGATGAGTTCATGTAACCACTTCCAGTGTTTGGATTTGAGCAAGAACTGGAACTTGGAGTGGGGCCAGCTCCCTGGCCTACCACAGAGTGTTGATCCTGAAACAGAAGAAATGGCTTGTGAGGCTGAAAACAGTAATAATCATCAAATAAAGGAAACAATCCTTTTTATGCAATTAGCTCATAGGACACAGGACACGCTTCCAGGACAAGTGACTGATACAAAGACCTTGATAAAACAAGAAGGACATTGAGTAACTTTATCACTTATAGAAGAACATGAAAACTTGCACGTGGTTCTGGTGGAAAACCTCAGTGTTGTACCAGGAGCTTGGGAAATGTTAAAGGAAGTAAGTGGGCTGCCATGGGATCTTTCAGGAAACTTCCCTGTGTTGTATGGCAGTCTGTCTGAGGGGAACAAAGTTTGCCTCTGGTTCTTACCATCTGGTGAGCAGCAACAGGAGATTTTTTACAGACTCATTGCCAGAAGTGCCATCCATTGTTAGAAAATACAGAAGTGGTAACTTGTTACTTTACAGGGGAGTGAGTGATACCATTTTCATTTGTCCCATCACCTGCCTCACAAGAGTGATTTCAGAGAGATGTGGTACGCCCTGGAGCTAAAATGCTCTCTCTTTAGCTGCAGGACTAAATAGGCTTAGAGGTTAGCCACTTTTTTGGAAGTACAAATACGTAATTGGAGAGTAATGTAATTGATACAAAACTGGGAGGAGTAGCTGATACCCCAGAAGGCTGCGCTGCCATCCAGAGGGACCTGGACAGACTGGACAATTGGGCAGTGAAAAACCTCATGAAATTCAACAAGGCCAAGTGCAGGGTTCTGCACCTGGGGAGGAATAACCCCAGACACCAGTACAGGCTGGGGACTGAGC